AAAGATGTGGGGGGAATTTAAAAAGGGAGGGGGGGGGGGGGATATTGAGAAAGGGTAACCCCTTTATTAGGGGGCAACCAGATATCTACCCCCTCCTCGGGGAATGAGTGCAGGTCTACATTAGTACCACTCACCCATTCCAATAAAGAGTTAAAAGGACTGACCACCGAATAATAATCCTTTAATAGAATAAACACGAACACATACTTCCCCGCTTTTAAATCAAAGTTTACTAAAGTACTCTAAAGTAAATAAGTAAATACAGAATCAGTCACAGTATCCAGTGATGTATCTGTCAATCAAGTCATCCAGAGAGGTAATCCGCGTCAATCATCGTGACCTGCTGCCTGCCAATCTGTACATACTGCACGCCCGTCGCTTAATGACAAATTTATATTTACCACCATCATTGACCAAAATATGACTGCAGCCCAGAATGTGTTATTTATCGGCTGCTTTGTTAATGTTTAAAATCAGGTTCTGGTTGTTCCCAATTTCCAGCCTGTTCGGCCGAACTGCAGACTTATGGAGAAACACTACTGGTGATATGATATAAAAAAACAGGAAAATCAGATTGTAACTGAAATTGCATATTTCAATATGAATACGATTTTGTTGTGCAAAATGAGACTACCTACAAAGTGGTTGATATTGTTTTGTTATATTGTATTATTCTTCCTGTTCATATCCAGAACATAAAGAGATCAGTGACGCCGTTTACAATTCTCACCTACAAAGACCTGATGGCATCAGCTGTTCCACTGACAGACGAGGACTCCAGCTATTGGGATAGCTTTACTTCCAAACAGGAGCTTCCCCAACGTCAAAGTGCAAAGCCATCAGCAAAGTCATAACAGAGGCCTGTAACAATCCTAACGTTTTGGAGACAGTTTATCAAGATTAGAAGAAGAGTGACTTTTGTTTTGGTGAATTTGCTGAGTTTTTTGCTTAACTAATAATGATTAGTAATGGACAGTCACAATATCAAACTGAAGTAGCTTTGAGGGAAATGTCTTTTCTAGCATTTCTGCAATGCAATATTAATTATTTCTGTTTTAGGGCAGGTTCACACCATTTTCAGGACCAGATCTGGAACATAGTGCATTGTGTTTTTGCTGCGTTTGGATTTTTTTTCCCCCAGCTTAAACTGGTTTTACAGGTGCGTTCCATGCGTTTTTGATGCATTCCAGACCAGACTAGATAGGACAAGCAGTATTTTCTGGTCTAGTGTGGAACGGACTACGCTGGTGGGAACAGAGGCCAGAAATAGTATAGGGATACATTGGGATGCATTTTGGGTCCGGAAACAGTCTGGTCTGGAGGTAATCTGGATGTGGTGTGAATGGGCCCTTAGAGTGGAATGGTCTGTTGGCAATAAAGTGGCAGATTTTCATTTTAGATGAACTATAGTAAAAATTGCTGATTGTCATTTTGATCTTTAGAAATAGGTCATTAGTTATCAAGCTATATTTCTGTGCAGAAATTTTTGACACGTTTGATGTAACACCCCCTGTCTCCACATGTATGATGTCATAATGTAAATCTGGCTGCAGTGGTGGGAGGGTTCACATATACAGGTAATCCCACCACTAGCCAATCTTTTTTCCAGAATGCTTTGTTCGTAAATATGCACTTTGGTATTGTCTGAGTATGCACATTTATGTCCTATACATTGCCGGCATGACTTTTATCCAAGGGGTGCAGTAGCGATCAAATGCAGAAATGCTGATTTACTCGACTCCCAGTTTCCAAGATTGGATGGCCGGTGGTATCTTCTCACACATGAAGAAATCCTAAGACATTGCACTTGTCATGTGATCTGGACAAAATCATCATAGGCTCCATTAGGTGGGGAAATAAGCAATTATGTCTACTTTTGGCCCTGGGGCAGGAAGAGTTAAAGCAGGTCTGTTAATATTTGCAATAACTGTGCTGCTTAAAGAGGATCTGTCATTTAACATCAAACGTCCTATGACAGCCAGATGTGAGCCTATCTGTTTGTTTTTTTTGACTGTTTATATAAAAGTTTGTTTTAAAGAACTCCAGGCAAAACTTGTATTAACTCTTAACTAAAACAAGCAGTTAACCCTTGGAGTGTGAAGGAAACCCTGCTGCAAGGGTTAATAAAGATTCTGCCTAGAGTTCTTCTTAAAATTAAATATTTACTAGAGGGTGTACACAAGACATTAGATTTTGGGTTTTCAAAGAGAAAGCACAGCTGATTTCCTTCAGACTCTTGCCTTCCGATTGAAAATTCTTTATGGGCCTGCCTGCACACAACAGGCAGTAAGGGGAAGGGATGGGGTGAGTCACTGACCTGCCTTATTTACTTGTGTATGTCATTTTTAGACTGGATTCACAGTGCATTATGGGTTTTCCAAAGAGAACAGAAGCTGTTTGCCTTCAGACTCTCAGCCCCCAATTGAAACTTCATTACGGCCCAGTCTGCACATAACAAAAAGTTAGGCAGAAGGAAAGCGATGCGTCACCGTTCTGACTTATTTACTTGTCTATGTAATTAAGATCTATAAACACCAGGGGGGAATTTATCAAAACTGGAGCAGACAAAATCTGGACTAGCTTTGCATGACAACCAATCAGCATCTCTCTTTCATTTTCAAACCTTAACTGAACAAACTGAAGAGAGATTAATGGTAAAAGCCGCGCTGTGTGAATGAGACCGCAAAGTGTCAGATATAGTAGACACTGACCTTGGAGTATTGTGATACAATGTGTAAAAAGTGCAAAACAAAAAAGAAACGCATGTATATAACATGCACCTTAGTGTAAATGTAATTGCTACAAAATATCCATAATGAAAAATCAAATGCACTAAATATTAACTGTGAATCAATGTGATGCAATGTGCAAAGAATACCAACAAGAAAAACGCATGTGTGTAACTTGCACTCCAGTGAAAATAATAAATGGTTAAAAAATTTCCATGATCCTGGATCTTCAATAGTCCATTAAGTAAATAGAAGATAAAACATTGGATGTAGAATAAACTTAGTCTCCTGTGACCATCAACAGAGAAATCTTCTGGAATGCACCTCACCTTTAGCAGAGACCCACCAGGGTCTGTATGCGCTGTTCCTCTAATTCAAAACAGGTAGAGGAAGCACCTGATGCCGAATACCTCCCAGTGATTACCTCCTCTCAGGTACAGACTCTCTTGCAGTCTCAGGAGTTGGAAGCAGACAGTTCATCCGAATGGCCCATGCATCAGATAAAATAAAAAGTGGAAACTCGTAGTGCAGATGGTTTTAAAAGGATACTAGACTTTATTAAAAAAAGGGAATACTACTCACATATCATAGATAAAATTGAGGTATTTGGTAAGCAGCCACAGACACTGTGTGCAAATCGCTCAGCTCCTCTATTCCACCCTACGTACGTTACGTCAAAGGGCGTGACTGCATCATGCCCTTTGACATAACGTACGTAGCTGACCACACAGATTTCAGCTGCTGCTTAACTTGATTAGAGTAGTGGCGCGAGGTTTCACATTATTCAAACTGAAGAGAGATGCTGATTGCTTGCCATGGGCAACTGCTCCAGATTTTGTCTGCTCCAGTTTTGATACCCCCTCCACCCCCCAGGTATTTTCCCACAAATCACTCAAGGATAGGATGCTGACTCAAAATCGAACTATGACATATACATGAGCAGCAATTTATATTTACCTGACTAAAAGAAACATTTGTTCGTTTATCCATTTATTTTAAAGTCCTGATTATATTACATAAGATGCATGCCAAACCGCTATCCATTCCCTCACTAATTCTATGCCACACTAATTCTTTGCAAGCTTGTTTTGAAACCAGGGGCACGTGTCTACAAATCCTGAAAGCAACTTTTTTAACATTGGGTACAAGGAATGGTCAAAGATCCTGTACAGGCCTAATGAGAAAACATAGATAACCAATGCAATCAGCAATGTTGAAAATGCCAGGCATGATGTATGTATAAAAAGTTTTACAAAATCTGATTTTTGGTCTCATTCTTAATTTGACAATACATATCATTGGGTACATTTTTTAAAGATCGTTGAATGGAAAGAGAAGTCTCTATGAAAGGAAGTATCGGATTTGCTGCTAAGGACAAAACACAGGCTTTCTGCAGATATTGTCCTTTAGTTGGTGGACTAAACTGGGGTAGATGTAAAGTCATTTTCAGCATTGCAGAAAAGCTAGAAACAGAAGACAGCCCCTTCTCTTGCATTAACGTTTATTAAAATTCCATTTCCAAAGTACATTGAACTTTTCACATATGAGAGGTGGAAAACAAGCGGTGTATGTACGCGACAACCAGGAACAGGGTGCAAAGCTCAGAGGAAGGGGTGATTTCACTGAAACAGGTCAGCTCTGCAGCCCTATTCCTGGTTGTTGTGTACGTACACCACTTGTTTTCCACCTCTCATATGTGAATAGTTCGATGTACTTTGTAAATGGAATTTTAATAAATGTTAATGCGCAAGGAGAAGGCGCTGTCTTCTGTTTTTTTGTTTTGCATATCCTATAAGGATGTTTCCCAATAGCCTTGTGGACGGCAGCCTCTGTGTCCGGTTTCAATAATGTCTGATGCCTAAGTCTGCTTACAATTTTGCTGACATTCGCGGCACCATCCGCGGTCACTGCGAGCACCCCCCCACTACAAGGGACATATCGGTAAGGAGTGCGACAAGGAGAGTACTCATTGATAACAAACTTGCTGACCGGTGGAGAGATGAGAGGGTTGAATGTGCCTCTGCTCCTTCATATTTACAGTCTGTGGGCAGAGATGGGACCTGGCTGTTGTGTAACTACAAGAGGTCAACAACATACATGTGGTAACCAGGGCAGGACATGAGAGGATTCCCATTTTTGCCTATTGTTCTATCTATCGGATGTGGCATGTGAGCAAAGCTGGGAACTCAAAAGAGATATAAATACCGTAGTGGGAATCTCAGCCCTCCAGCTTCCACTTGAAGCTAAAATAATAGTTTTCGATGCACATGTTGTTGCACGTTTGGCTTTTACATGGAACCATTATATTGTTTACAAAGCTAATGTAAATCAGGATGCAAATGTCATTCAGTTAGGGTGTAGAATAAAAATTGCCTTTTTAAAAATAAAATGCTTGTCTTCAACTTTTTTTTGATATCCTATATTACATCTTAGTGCTGATGATCTCCTGCAGCCTCTTCCTGTCTACATGCACTCCAGCAAAGGCTGTTCACCATTTATCAGAGCAAGTTTCTTGATGGTCAGAACATTGGACCATCCCTTGTAAGGTGGGCTTCACACCTAGGCAACAGCATTTTTGCGCGTCTCAATGTGCGTTTTTGATGCACGTTTTCCCCAGCGTTTTATGTGCATAAATCAAGCTGCATTTTTTTTTTAGCAGATTGTAGCTCATTGATGATGTTAATGAGCAAACACACGCAAAGCACAGCAAACGTGCATTTTCAAGCCTTCCCTATTGAGTCTATGGGACCAAAACAAGCTGTAATATGCCAAAAAAAGCTCCTGTACTTTTTCCAGCCACAGGCGCTTTGCTTTTTGTGACAAAACGCTCAGATGTGAACAGAGCCATAGAAATGAATGGGATTTTTGGAGGGGACATATTTTTTTAGATTAGAAAAAGCGCTAGAAAACGCTCAGTGTGAACCAGGCCTAATGTTTGTTGCAACGGCCACTTGTCTCCAGCAGAAGCATTTTTGACAAAGCAGAAACACAATTAGAAGACAGGGATTGGGTGTTGTCACCCTATAACAGGAAGTGCCTGAACAAGAATGTCTAGGGCATGATCACCGGGTATTATTTTATTAAAATCTGATTTGAAAATATTGAAAACTGCTTTTAAAATCACATGATTATGTTTAT